ATGTTGGCACTTTACTGCTCATGGTGCAATTGCACTGTAAAGATTTCATTGCTACTGGAACTATAAACTGTTACCATTGTGGCATTTGTTAATGAGTACTTTAAATAGAAAGGGGCTGCTATAACTTTGCTTATATTTTGTACAAATTAAAAAAAAAAATCTAAGTTAAAAATCTTTGGTTAGCTTCTGCCGGCTACACAAACTGCTCTTCTACAGAATTCATGTTGGTATTTACATAGCTGGGGTATTCTTCTTTACCATTTAAAAGTCTCCTAGATTAAAAACAGTCACAATAATGCTTTGTGGTAAACTTACTGATATGGTACACAAGAGACTGAAATAAAGAGTTAATCCCTTCACTTCCTAGCTCTGTGTAAAAAGGTGTTTCTCAAGTCACCCTTTTACCTTTTTTAAGCCCCCCCCCCCCATTTTTGTACCTGGTTAACTTATTTATATAATAAAAGTTCCAAGCCATCAAGTGAGTGAATACATACACCTCCTTTCGACGCTTAGTGAGATACCTTCTTTGGTCAGCTGGCAGATCTTGCCTCTGATTCCTCACAGGTGGTTGAAACAGATGAAGTTCTGCCTGGTTTGTGTCTGACACCGAGAGCACTTCTAGGGCTAGAGCAGAGAGCTGAGTTTAGAAGCCAAGTGTAAAAGAGAATTCCTGTCATAGCTTACAGTTGTTCTTCCTAAATATAGAGTTGGATTCATCCTGTAACTTCATTCCCTCCTAGTTAAAATTGGGGCTCAAGTATCAAGCAAAAAGTGTTAGTGAACTTACCTTCAGGTCATGTTTTGTGGTCACTTCAAAATGTGAAACAACTGTTGTTGTTTTTAAGAAGTTTTGTAAAAAAAAATTATGTTACACATTAGGAAGTGAACGAGGCAGACATGCGACTCTGTTTCCATGCTCCTCTCTAAGCCACTACTTCAAAATAATTTTGTAGAATTCAGTGGGATAATGTCAGAAATGTAGCTTGAGCAAAGCGACGAGGCTCTTTATGCAGGCATTTCTAGTATAACATTTTAAACAGGCATTTGCTAGTATAACTGGAAGTGTGCTGCCCCCAGCCAGCGTTTAACTGTAGTTAAGTAGAACTGCCATATATCTTTAAGAGCAGTTGCCCCTGGGAATTGAAGTCTTTAGTTAGACATCCCAAGGCATCCCTGTGACTGGCTGATCAACAGTCATTTCCTGCACCCAGAGGCGCGGGGACAGGCCCGTAGCCTGCGTGGGGCCCATGGGGCCCGGCCCCCCTGCCAGTTTTGCGGGCCCCCTTCCTCCCGATCCTCTGCTCCCCCCCCCCATCGCCGCTGCCTCCGGCATCCCGCAGGCTGCTGAGGCATCTCGTGGAAGGGAAGGGGAAGTCGGAGCTGCGTCTGCCGCGCTCGCTCGCCTGCCTCCCCCCCCCATCTCGCTTTATTTTGTTTTGACCGC